CTGTTTCCTGGCAGCGATACAAACTGTTTCACCAAGTGTCACGTAAGTTTTGCACAGGAAACACGATTCTTTGAGGAATATTAACCTAAGGCAGGACATTTGGAAGTACTGAGAGAAATAATCACCCAGCGAGAAGAGAGTGGAACTACTCCAGTCAACAAACTGAGTCACAAAAATAATTGGCTGAAGTTATTTTGTCATGTATTGTCAGTCAACAATGTTGTCCATAAAATCTCAGTCTCTATAGCTATGGACAACATAGATGATGTTAACTGAAAAAGTAGCATCTTCTGAATTTCTGAGGTTTATTCCAAGTGAATTTGAAAGATTATCACTGATACTGTAAGGCATTTATCTTACACTGCTGTTGTACTCTTATCCATACCTGCCTAAGGTTTCTGAAAGCCAGATGTATATTCAGCATTAGTCAGACGAGCAATAAGGTCATTCCTTGTATTTTGCCTCTGTAGAAATAAATTCATAAAAACAAAAAGCAATAGAAAATACTGACTCAGGTGTGCAATTTCTTATTTATATGCTGTACTTCTTCCTTCTTAAAGTGAAAGAATAAACTTAGTGTTACCTTATCTCACACAAGCTAATACAGATTGAGTTCCAGAAAGGCCAGTTCTGTGTCAGGAATTAGCTATGGGACAATGATCTTATTGTTCATTAAAAGAACTAACAGAAGATAAAACAAACAAAAAGAGGTTTGAATTATTTATTTTTAATTTGAGAATTTAAAGATTTTCCTAGAGGAATAGGGGTGGCTTCCACAGTGAATTCAAGAGTACTGAAAACTGATTTGTTTTCTTTATAGTGCGATTCTAGGGGCAGGTGGCAGACTCAACATTTCACAGCTGCTGAGAAGGGAATAGTCTTTCCCTCGTGCAGCTTCGGCCGTGCAGCTCTCCTGTGCCATTCTCACATTGCATCTGTTACAATCTCACATGGACCTGCTTTAAGCTCCTTGTGTGGTAGAAGCTCTCCCACCCCGAAATGGCTGCTCGGTGCTGTGTGGTCCAGGAAAATGACTTGGGCTGTAACAAAAAACTAGCCAGCTTGGTGGGAATAACAGGATACTGACTTCTTTCTCCAAAAGCAGGTCTTTAAAGGCAGAAGAGGGAGAAATTATTTTAATGTAAATATAAATATAAATGTAAACTGTAATATTAAAGGTATCAAAATTACTGTAAGAACTGTAATGGTTCTATAATAGCTTTGCACTTTTTTTTTAACCTTAATGTAGAAACTATTAATTATTAATGAATCTTGCTTAAAGCTCAGCCAAAACTGCCTTGCTTACTTTTCAGTTCATAATAAAACCCATTTTGCAACAAAACTCAAAAAGTAGCCCTTGACCTCTCATGGCAGGTTTGTCATGGCTGAGTCAGCCTTCTGAATTCATACAGCTTGGTGGTGTGATGGAGAATGGAAAACGTATTTTCAAGTATGCCTATCTCATATTATTTTATAGCACAAGTAATCTGAGTCAATTCGAACTAAAGATACTAAAAATTTTCATAATTACCTAAAAAAAATACTTTCATAAATTAATTAGTAAATATTAATTTCACTTGTTTAATACTGTCCTGAGTATTGCAATGACAGTGGGTCAAGGAAGCAGTTAAAAGTTAAGCTGGAGTTTCCATCTCAAGGGTTGATCCAAACACTCCGGCACCTCCTGACTGAATTTCTCCTCTAACTGACAGAAACTCAGCTGGTTTCGATAAACAGAATATTCTCTTGCATCAGTTACAATTCTGAGAACCCCAATTGCTTTCAGATCTGTTTTGAATAATAATATGAATAATAAAGACAGTTTTACTGATGTCACATGCCACCTGTACTCATGCTGAGACATGCTTCAGTTTTGTTAGTATGACTGTTAGATAGTAGTTGGCTTTTAGTAAAAATGAGGTATGAATTGGCAAACTTGTGCTAGCAGAGCAGATCTGTTCTAAGCAACATGGGAAAACGATTTAAAGATGCAGACAGGAGGAGAGGAGACAGAAAAGGCAGAGAAAGACAGATCAAGCTGTCTATCTTGTACTGTATCTGGACTTGCAATACTGGCATCAACGCAGCACGCTGTAAGCGCACACTGGAGGGATACTTAGTGCAAGCCAAAGCACAGACAACTCCTCCAAAGCAAATCTCTTTAAAGGCCAAGGAGAGCTGGGGTCAGTAGCACCCAAACAACGAATGAGAAAACGAGCAAGGCACAACAGCATCTCCATGTTAGAGAGAGCAAACATTCAAGACAGATGTGGAACCTAGGCAAGGTATATTCGGGGCGGAGCACCACCAAGCCCAGAGCTAGCAGCTCCTTTGGTTACAGCGGTAGGACTTCTGTTCCTGTGATGTGTGCACCAGGAGTAAGCAGAAGTCTGAGAGGAACAATCCAGAGGGAGCTCCTGTGAGTGGGTGTACTGCTTCCTCCTGTATTTTTCATTTGCATATTAAATAGTAACACTTCTCCCTCTGGCCCATGTAGTTCTGGACAGTTTAGGAGCAATCTGCACTATTCCCCTTGGTGCCCAATGGAAAATTTTACAAGGAGTCTGTTGGATCTGAATTTATTTCCCAGTCCACTGCTATTTTTGCTGTGTGGAACTGTGCTCCATACATACTCACTTTGCTCCCCTTCATGTATATAAGGAAGAGATTTTCAGTATTGATTTCTAATACCCACGCTGCTTCCCAGCTGCCTTCCTCTCTTCCTCAGCTCAACACTGCATATACACATGATGAAGCAGAACTGTTCTTAGCAGCACCTGCTTGGTCTAGCAGTGACCTCCTTTCTCCCACAGCCTTGGAAGTACTCAAGCCACACAAATCAGCAAGCTAGGTCGGGACAACTCCACTGGAGAATGAGAAGCAGGGTTGAAAAGTACAAGCTTAAGCTTCATCAGCTAACACTTCACTTGGCATTTCACAGGTCTGAGCTGTCTCCCGTGAGACATACGATTCACTCTCAGAGCAACTGCTTCAATTGCTTCAGTTCTCACTTTTTTAGATATACACACACACACATATATATATAGGTAGCTGTGTTGAACTCTTCATTGTTTAGATGAGATTTAAAATGTAATGCTTGGGGAAATACACAAACATAAATCCTAAAGGTCCCAAAAGGTCTTGCTAAAACCTTTTTGCTTTTCAAAATGGATTAATATCTGGCTTAAAAGATGCAGATGTAAAGCTATAGACATTAAGTATATAACGATTCAATAGAGAGAAGGCATGAAGTTTCTGTAAGTTCTCTGTCTTAACTCTACATGAGACCCCCACTGGATGAGACACCTCAGAACACCAGGTATCGTCTAGATGGTGCAAGAGGGCACCACCTACCCCTGCACATAAAGGTGAGGAATTCAGACCAGGACGGTTCTGAACCACGGCCTTCCTCTGTGCTGCTGTGTTGTACTTTCCTGCGCACTGAAGTATGCAGTGTATATAGTATATGTATATAGTATATGTATATATAGACATATATTTACAAAAGCACTGATTTTATAGATTACCTACTTATGTCACTAAAAAAAACACAGAAACTTAACAGGGATTGAAAATGGAAGCCCAGAAACAGCTTCTTCTGAGATTAATTGACTGTGAGCTTTGCAGCTTCCCTTTGTAGCTCCCTAGAACTGTGTGAGAGACAAAGCCTACTTTTCACGCCAACCATCTGCTCTGGCTAGATATTGACGACAGTAAGAGTCATGTTAAATATTCAGCCATGCCCTCTCAAGCTTCAAGATCTTCAATCCAAACTTCTTAAAAAAAGACCACGACACAAGTAAAACTGACTGTTTTTTTTCCAGTATCTCAAAGGTAGCCACAGTCTCTTCCCAAGTGCTCAAGCACAGAGCTTTTCAGAGTGAAAGACTGGTTTACAAGATAAAAGGCTGAGCTACCTCTTTTTTTATGTGTCACCATATTTTGAAATCTTCAGCCTTTCTAAACCTGTGTTTATAAACTACCCTACCAATTTAATCCATTGGTAAAAGAACTGCCAGATGCCAGACACACAAAATTCAGTCAATTAATAATAACTAGGAGAAAATTAAAAAATCCATTTCCACACAGTTTGGGGAAGAATAGGTTTCATTTGTTCTATTTTCTATGCAAGAAGCAGCAGGTTATTTTATTGAAGACAAACAGTATTCATGAATGAAATGTGTACAAAGAGACCAAGTACATTCATCATTTAGAATTAAAACTAAGAACAGAACTGTTCATTTCAACGTAACAAAAAAAAAAAAGGCCAGCACAGTGTTCAAGAACTGACATTACCTTCAGTCACAGACACCTATCTTCAGGCACAAATTTGACTTAGCTATCAGCTATTTTTTAAAAAATCACATTATTCACCATTATACATCTGCTGTGAAAGAACCGCTGTAATTACTAAAACAAATTTTGTTTGCACAAAACCAAAATTCACATTCTATACAAATGAAAAAAGTATTTGAAATAAAAAACAATGTATAAAAATATTGTATTTTGGATTTTATTTCCATTCATTACATATTCACTCACTATGTCCTGAAGTGAATGGTAGCCACATTCCTTCTTGAAGGAAAAGTAGAGAGGCAGAAATAGCAAAGTAGCTAAGTATCTGCAGAGTTGCTTTCTTTGTACTTAATGAAACTGTAGCAGAGCATTATCTAGCCCTTCCTTTTATCAATCAATTAAAAGATACCCTTGATGATACATACTGACCTCATGAATCATGCAGTAGCAAGATTCTAACTCATTATGGATCACTGTCTGATCCAGTTACACAGTAAAACCACTCCAAGTTCAAAAGATGTATTTGAAAAACTAACTTTAGACATCTCATTAATTATCCATATGGCTGTCTTACAAAAATTGTCTTTTACAATACAATCAGTCACAATTTATTATCATTATTTTCCTTATCCATCACAGGAAACATTCTTCCATGCTTGTAACATTTCTTGAAGATATTATAATCCATACATTCAAAAGTGGGTCCGCTTTTCTTTCCGAGTGCCCGAGCTTCCGCGTTCATCCAGGCTGTTAGTGCTTTGGCAGGATGACCGAACATTGCACGGTTGTCTGAAATACAGAAACGGAGTAGATGAGTGCTCCTGCTTCCAATACAGGGCCTTTCCTGGGTGAAGGCAGACTATATAGCTTCCATACAGATTAAAAACAGCTATACCTGACACCACAAGAATAGTATCTCCATCTCCCCCCAACTCCACAGAAGTCAAGCACGGAGCACACACCTTCCTTACAGCAGATGATGAGTTACTGTCACCAGAAATCTTCGAAAATAACGGTGCTTACAAAGATAATTTTTGTATTTTCTTTTACCCATTTTTAAGTACAGTTGTCTCTCTAAAGTGCATTGGTCAGGAGCAAATGAAATGCTTAGAAGATGCAGTGACAGGCAACTTTAGAGCAGGACACATTAAAGGGCAAGACCTATAGCCTTTTTGGGAGGCCCTTAGCCTGCAAGGACCACGGTGTATGTATTGTCCAGTTGAAGTGGATCCTTAATGAATTTCCTCTCTCCACCTTACTCCAGCTGATCCAGTTCACTCTAATCACACAAACATGTTCACTGATTTCAATGAGATTGTCTCAAGGAAGAAAATTACTCGAGAATCTAAAATCAGAGCTCTGCAAGCATAAATTATGAACTTATGTCAGGCATGGAAAGTGTTAACTTTCTACTGGAAAGTTAGTGAGGTAGGAAAGAATTAACTTTCAAAATGTTAGTTATCAAACATGTTACATTTCAAGTATGCAGAGGATGAAGAGTGCTAAAACACACCCTAAGGTTAACTTACCCAGTCTCAAGTATTCACCTCACACAGCTCCATCCTAAGAGCACAAGATTATTCCTTGTACCAGGGCTCTGACAAGTATCGCTTCATTCAGGCTAGTTAGTTTGTGAGTTTAAAAAAGGAAGGCAGTGTCAGCAGGACTGCTCACAGAGACAAGATAGCTAAACTGATATTTCTATCAGTTTTAGATATTTCTATCTGTTTTCCTGAGATGGATCACTCGTGTTTGGAGGATGCTATACCTGCAGGATTGCAAACGCCATTATCTCATGACCACTATAATAAAGACTGCCAGTGATTACAACTCCCCTAAACATTTTTCCTGGTCATGGAACAGCAGATCCAGCCATGCAACAACTATAGTTGGTCCACCCTGTCAAGAAGTTTCCTTGATATTACCTAGAAATTACTTGGATTACCTTGGATTACTTGGATCAGGAGATTTACCCTCTGTGTTTCCTCAATGGACACTCAAGTCCGACTTTGTCACATCCTGTTCTGAAAAAGTATTACAGCCTGGCCATGCCTCAAAACAGCAGGCTGCTGTACCCTTAGAGAGGATTGTTAAAAATTCATTTTTTTTTCCAAAGCTCATGCAATCTGAGGCTGGACAACCGTCTTTTTTATAAAACAGTGAGGTTACATAACACCAGGAGACCCTGACCTACAGACATCCTGGCAGTTAGAAATAGTAACACTCAAACTATACTTAAATTAGAAAAGTGAAACAGAATGGATGGCAGTCAGCCTACATAGAAAAAATCATCCCTGGCCACTCTTGCACTGAAGATACAAAAGGATGTCCCGAGGGATGCTGAAGGGCTACTTTTCATAAAAAGTCCTTTACATGAAGGACTATATACCACTATACTAGAACTATTGTGAATTTCAGAAAGGACACTGTGTGCATGTGGATAGAGTACACAATTCTGAGTGGGAAGAGAGATAAACACTGCTGTGAAAAAGGCCTGGCAGCGCCTTCTCTCCTCTCTAGTCAAATTTCTTCAGTGATAGTAACTAGAATAAAGAGGCAAAAAAAAAATGAAATGTCCTCTGACCTTGAGGAACTTTAAGGTTTCATATGCTTTCCCAAACACTAAAAACAGACCATGACAGAGGCTCCTTTGGGCTGCCCAACCTCAGCCTGGGCATTGTTTGGGGTGGTTTCACTTTATCACTGTTCGCAGTTCAGCAGCTGCAATCTTGCTCCTCCTTGTCAGTTCTCCTGCCCACACAGTTGTGTTAAACAGCGGCCAGGGAGATGACGGAAGGGTTAGTCTTAATGAAAGAACAGTAACATTACACACGCAGGGCCAGCGCTTTCCACCCAACAGCTCTCTCAGCCTCTATAATGAAGGCAATGAACATATGATAGAGAGCAAGAGGGTACTGGTTACTGAAGCACACATAGCAGAACTTTGGCAGTAGATCTCTCAGTCCCTATGCAGAGGGAAAAGTGCCTAAGCATACCTGTGAAAATTCTCTCCATGGCAGCATGATCACAGGAGCTGAGGAGTATCCAGTGCATTTTTACAATTATTTATTTGAAGTCTGAGAGGTTTTTTTGTTTGTTTGTTTTGTTTTGTTTCCAATACAACCAGGCATCTGTTTTAAACATGAAGTGTGGCCCAGGGCCCTGAAAAAATGTTTTCTGGAGATTAGAGAAAGAATATGACTCTGTTGTCTCCTTTATCTCATCATGCCCCACCTTCAAGCAGACTGTAAAGCCATCTGCCTCTCACAAATAGTGATAGTGCGGACTAAAAATAATTAATTCCTGCTCCAGATAACTGTGTGAGGAAGGGTGATGAATATATCATCCAGAGCTTTCCTCAGAAAAAAAAAAAGGTTTTCTAAAGAAGTACCAGGAAGAACACATTTCCAGGATTTTGGTTGGAAATCCATGACCTGTTCAAGCTTAAAAATGCTTAAACTGATTTGTGGTGAACTTTCCATAATGCTTCTTGGATTTCTGTACATCAGATTATTGTCTAAACTGGATGTGACAGGAGTCACTTACAAGAGAACCAGACCACAAATAAAACAGAAAATCTGATCAAAATCCAAAGATTCAAATAAATCCAGGGACACATTATCAGATATCAGAATGATACAACTTATGCCTTCTTTTTCTTACACACTGAAACTACAGTAAAGAAAGTGTTTTTCAACTTCTTTTATAAAGGTAAGGATAAAGAGGGAACCTGAGAGTGAAGAGAGTTTTTTCTCAGGTGGCTTCCTCCTTTGTAGAGGAGGAAGCCACCTCATATAGCTTTACTCATGCTTCTACTCATATAGCTCTTTCTGGACCACTTCTGTCTGTTTTCTGTCCCACATCACAGTTCTCTTTCCCTTTTTTTTCAAACCAACCTGGTGACATCCTTAATTCCTGGGACTCTGCCTGTTGTTGTTGTCTTAGTAGTGGCTATTTGTAGCAGAAAGCTTGAAAAGAAGTTGCATAGCGTTCCAAACTATTTAACATTGTTATTTTCCTCTACACTGTTGGTAAAAAGGAATCTCAAGCATTCCTGTGAAACAGAGGTGATACAAAACACATACGCAAACTCTGTCTTTGAAAAATCCTGCTGGTAAGTCCCCTCATCAAGACACTTAGTAGTATTTTTTTTCTTTCCATTCTTTTTTTTTTTTTGTGACCTCAGGTCTGAAAGTGACCGAGACATAATTCCAAAAAAATTTAAACTAGATAATGGCTGTAACTTGCAAATAGTTCTTCACCTGTCATACATTCAAAAGAGAACAATGTTTTATCCTTTAGCCTTCTCCATTTGGCTCTACATTGTTTTAAAACACAGGCTAAGGCTGAACAGAGGAACAGGTTATTGTTCTCTGTACTATGAAGGGTATCAGTTCATTATCCATAATACAGGTGTGTTGAATATTTGCAGCTTTTAAATATACTGGGGATGTAATATGGAGGCTTGATTTTCACAGCGAAGCTTATAAGGCCATTAATGTTTTTTATGGCCATCCTGAATTGTGGTGGATATATTAATGCATATACTATATTCTAAGAAGTCACATGTCAAGTAGAAACATCCTGAAACATCTGCCTATATTATGTGCATACACATACTTTCCCCCAATACTAGTCATGCTCATATACTTACTTTCAGGATGTGCAGGGTGTCTGACCATTCCATGGAAGCTATCTGAGGTATAGCAGTAAGGAGTATGCTCGTGGCCTTATTTGCATTCTCTTTCAACGTCTTTAAAACCTTATCCACTGAAACCTAAAAAGAGAAGAAAACTGTAGTTATCTCAAATTTGGTGGCACATGTTTTAAATCCCCAACTAAACTCACGTCACTCTTTAAGGTGTGAGTGCAAAGCTGAAGCACAGACAAAAAAAAGTAGGCATTTTAAAATCACCTTCTTTCTTTCCTTTTTTTTTTTTTTCCTTTTTTTTTCTAGTAAAATCATTTTTTTATCTTTTCTGGATGTGCATTTGGTTATGTTTTATTCCTTGGGTTCAATTCCATTAATTAATTCCCCCAAAAATCTCTATAGGACTTTTCATCTGCACTTATTAGAAGAGAAGTCACTGGTTAAGATACATAATGTCTTCTAGCAATATGTATGCATTATCATAATAATAAGAAACAAAATAAACACAAATGGATATATTGAAAAAAAAACAAGAGCTGACTAAACATAAAAAAATATTCTGGGAAATCCTGATCAAATTTGTATGGAATTTTAATTGCAAAGAAATCCCCAGTGTTTTTCTCCATGGGGCACAGATAGCTTTACATAAAAGGCCACATGGGGCCCTTTAATACAGTGACAGTGCAGGCATGTGCGTATTAGTTTTAAACAGACACTTCTTGCTCACACAGTTTTCTTCTATACTAATTATTATTTAGAGGATATTTTTTATATTATTATATTTTCATATTCAAAAATTCAGCTGAAGAATAATAAACAATAACAGAGCCATGCTGGATCTGATAAATCACATTTCCATAATATCCAAGTAATTTATGGCCTAAGTAGCTCTTAGAGCAAATCATGCCACTTGTACTATTTATCTGTGCTTTTACATTAAATCAGTGCTCCAACAGGCAAACTTGTACTGTAAAAAAATTAAAGGAAAGTTAAAAGTGAATTAAATAATACCATATGGGAATGCTGTAGGTGGAAACATTTGACAAATATTCATAAAAACTGTGAGATGAGAGTTTTACAAAGTTACTGAGACAATTTTGCATGTGTTTTAAGAAGCTGTCTGTCTCCATTGTCTCAAGTGCCAAGACTGCACTGCCATTTCCTATGACTAAGATTTAATTGGCAACTTTCATAAATATTCTGCTAGTAATATGTATTACATGAGAAAAAAAAAAAGGACTAAAAAAGGTATATCCTTTCACAAAGCTGCCAAACAATACAACTAGAACAATTACAGGTCAGAGGTCACACTGGCCTTATAGCATTCAGACCAGCTGATTCACACAAGAAGAGTCAAAAGGTTTATAAGGAGAGCAGTTTATAAAAATTAATGAGGTAGCAATGTCTAATTTTGTTCGTGCTTTCATAATTGTTAATCAAGAATAATTCAGTGATACTGATGTATGAAAGACTGGATTTAGCTTAATACATGATTTCCACCTAAAGGTACAGGTTCTCATCTAGATCCCTGTGAACAAGACCCAGAGAAATAATCAGTTTCACTCACTGCTTCTTCGTGCTCTTTCCAGCAGTCGTAATCTGTTGCCATAGCAATACTTGCATAACTCAATCCAGCTTCTTTCGCAAGAATCACCTCAGGAACTGTGGTCATGTTGATGACATCAGCTCCCCAGCTGCGAAACATCAAGCTTTCTGCTCGAGAACTGAAACGTGGGCCTTCAATTGTGATCATTGTTCCCTTGGAATGAAATGGAAGCCCAAGCTTCTTGGCAACTTCAATAAGAACCTAGAAAACATGCTAAGGTCAACAAAATCATTTTCCCTTACTGGTGCAGAATTAGGAAGCAATTAATCCCCCCCGCGAAGTGCATTGCTTTTGCATCCCACTCAAAAAAAAAGGAAAAAAAAAGAAAAAAAGCTTTTTCCTACAGGAAAATTAACCTTATACTTACTAGTTGCACTGAATATGTCTATAGCTGTCCAAAAATAAAAAAAGTTTCAATTTCCTTATCTAATAAGAGAAATAAATAGTCTCTAGTAGAAATGATTTGAATTCATCTGATTTTATTTACTATTATTTGGATTACTATTTTCAGTACAGACGAAGGAGACTGAAAAGCAGGCAGCGTGTGTGTTTTGACTTTGCTTACATTAAGCATAGTTTACTAAAGGTAAACACCACCAAGCACTATGTGGGCACAAAGTGGGAAATTTACCTTCTGAAAGTCTACTAGATTGAAAACTTTACAAGCTTGAAAGACCTCTGAAGAAAAATTATTATCTCCTTTTCCTGTATCAGCAACTAACCATATACTTTACACATACCAGCAGTTTGGTATTACTCCATTCAAACCCAACCAGGACTGTGCATATGGGTGAATCACTGCGACTTCTCTTGATAAATGGCCTTGCTATTAACGGTTGATGTAACAGGAATACAACTAGTATGGTGTGTGTAAACAAAATACTGCTCTGAGAAGGTGCTAGCCCCCAAACTGGTAACACTTAAAACAGAAGTATCAATGATGAAAACTGCTTAACATGACCATCAACTGCCCTCACAGTAACCACGGGACTGCTAAGAGATGTTTGAGAAGTACTTGACATGAAAAGAAGCATGAAAAACTGTGGCAGTAGAGACCTTGGTAGCACAGCAGCAGTCAAAACCTATTCTGATACTGCCAAGAATTGCCTTCCCAGCACCATGAACTCCAGCTAGTCCTGCCATCAAACACTGCAAGAAGCCTGTGCTTCAGCTACTAGACTGTCACACAGGGTGCAACAAGCAGTGACCAAGCCTTGAGTGTCCTATGCGATCTTGTGGGCATCATGGATTGTAAGCAATAGCACAGCTACCCATGATGATGTAGCACCCCACAGACGTCTGTAAATGGGTAAACCTGCACTCCTGAAAGCAGGCGGGTATTCTCCTAACCCCCTCACGCTGGGGAACAGCATTTGTGCACACAGCTGTGTGACAATACATGTAGTGGTGGGAAATCTGAACTTCTGGGGGTTAGTTTTTATAGGATGTTTAGAAATTTGTAGGTGTTTATAGAATGTTACCAATGTATAATATTGTGTTTTTTTACTGATATAAACCCTCAGAATATAATCTACCAATTGCCAGTTAATTGTGTGTTACTAATAAAACAATAAATGCCTTAAATACTCACTTGATTTAAAACTTATGAGCTGAGCACTATTGTCCCGCCACATTTACAAAAGTCCAGGTTCATTCCTTATAAAATGTTTCAGTGGGTTCTATTTTCTTAAAGTAATAGCAATCAAAATAGTCTATTTTATTCAAAGCAATTATGATTATTAGAAAAAAAGACAAACTGCTTTCAGATGATTTACAGTGTATAAATCAAACAGAATATCTTCACAAATTTCACAAATGCTATGAAATATGGAACTGTCAGATATTTGTCATGCAAAGTCCTTAGTTATTCTACCATATTAATAATTTTGGCATTATTACGATTTCATTTATCTGTGATATTTCCTTGAATCCAGACAATCTGGATGAAAATGGTCACAGCAATTTTCAGGGTCAGGTCAGGGAAAATATTATAGATCAGTTTGATATTTTCAAATGAAGTGAAAGGAACTTCTAGCCCCTTTAAGAGCTCAAAAATACATGTTCTTTAAAACATCTGTTGGCCTGATTAGAATGTACAGGCTAATGACATAATGATCACATGTGAGATTGGGAAGTACCTAAATGTTTGTTCTCTATTTTAAAATGAGTATTTCTCTGTTACTCTTAAAAAAAATTGTCAAGAAGTTTTGTCTCTAGCTACTTAATAATCAAATTAAAAACCAGCTTTTGTATGCTTCATTCAAGCTCACGAAATGGCTTATGCTAGGCTACTTGCTTTTTTTTCCTTTTTCTTTCAAAGTAAGAGAGAGACACCTAGCGTAACAACATTCCTTTTTAATCCTTTACAGGTGTGCAGAAAGTATCTGGTAAAATCTTTGTACTTATCACGACATGGCATCGGGCTCACTATCAGCAAGATAATATATTACACCTGCTCCTTGATAACATTGTGGAGGTATTCATTGTGTGGTTTCATTAAAAAGACAAGGTATTTTGCATAGTTTGCTGCCCAATGGCAGAATAGGAAAGTGCAGGTATATATAATGCAGGTATATAATGAGCATTGGTCTGTTTCCTCCTTAACTTTGCAAAACAGTGTAGAATCCTAGTGCACTGAAATTTCAGCAGTGCTGACAGACACTTCAGAGCAAATCATGTTGCATTAAGCTAACTAAAAGAAATCACCTACAATGACAGCAAACTGGTCATAAGAGCCAAACAGCTCAACAGTACTAACATTTTTAACATACTCTGGGAACAGAGCGAGTCCTGTGCTGCATGATTCAGCTTTTTCACCTGTTCAGTCTTGCAATCAACTGCAAAGAGAGTAAGTCTTTTGGATAGGTAGGACTATTATTTTAAAGATTCCTGTGCCCCTTGAGAGTGTACCCTGCATTCTACAACAGCACAAAATGCTAAATTCCCTCTTCACCTTCCCTTTTACTCTGCTGTAAGGATCCACTGATTCACTGAAATGGTATATGTATTTACAGATAATCTCCTCCCAAAAGCTTACAAAGGTGTTGAAAAGCAGAACAGTATTTCACTCTTCTTAGTCTAAGTGTTAGCAAACCCTGAAAATCTTGAAGCAACAGAAAGAGTGGCAGGATTTAAGAACAAAAGATTTGCTGTAAGTTGGCTTGTTTCCATGCTAACATCCCTTAAACAAAGCCTTCACTCCTCCAAGACCAACTGCTAGAGTACATAAAGCGTAAATGCAATAATGGCCCTTCTATGAATGCTTAAGTATTACTTCTAATTCTTTATATTTTAAGTGTGTATATGCCCTGCAGTAGGTAAAATTCCATTTAAAACAAAAATTAATTATCCACTAATTCTCTCTCCTTATTATGCCCGCATTGCTGTTCCCACTGCTTGCTACCTGATAAATAAAGATCTTTTGTCCTTTTATTAAGTTCCTGGGATATCTAACAGGTTGCAAACTGCCTTCTTACATCCTTCTGTATATTTAATTTAAGAAGATAGCTCTTACAGTCTTATAATCTCTTACTTCCAAAGCCTTCAAAATGTTACATTTTTATTTAATACCATAAGACATCTGTGAAATCGGACCAAAGGGGTGGAGATTGCCTCTGTGTTCTGACGGTTCACAATTATCCTAAACCACATATGCCATTAAAAAAATAAACTTTTAAAGTACTTCAAAAAATTCATTTACCCCTCTGGTTCTGGTGCAGAATGGTTCTGCCATAGGAATATGACATACTCCTGAAAGAGAGGAACACTGCCCATCATAAAACGTAGAATGTCTCCTAGTAGTCCTGTAAAAGAAGAACACATGCTTAGAGATGAAGGAGAAGAGCAGGGAGAAAAGAGACAAGAAAGTAACAAAATCGGAAGTCAACAAGGTGGTCCTGTAAAGGGATTAAAAAATAGAATGATAAATGTTTTTGATATATGTTTTGTATAGGCCTTTCAGAATTGAGGTCAAGAGCACAAAACTGTTGTTCCAGTAGCATATTACCAATTCACTAGAGAAGATCAACTGTTAGCAAGATACTGAAATGCTGACTTGTTCTTAAGTGCCAGAAACAGCTGAAGGAAAAGAGATAAATGTAATCATGGTATAAGCAATCTTTGAAAAAAGATCAGAGAGCTTCCAGAAAGGGAAGGAATTAAGTCTGAACAGTCCACAAAACTAGTCAAAATAGAACTACTTCTTCATATTACAAACAATTTGTTCATTAGCTGTTATATTATCATGTATCTGCTCAATAAGCAGTATCACCTTAGTCTAATCGTCTAAACTGAAACCAAATGCACAGAGCAAAATTTCTGCTCACAAAACTTGCTCACAAAAGTTCCCCACCCATGTCACCAGCAAATATTTACATGAGATTTTAGATACAAGTTACACAAGTAGGTTTTGAAAAAAAAAAGAGTAGTAATACAGCTGCCTTAATTATGAGATTATAAAGAAGGGAAATAGGGGAAATAAATTGGCAAATTAAAAATATATGCATAATGAAATAACTGATGATAAAATCTACCAAAACAGTAATATTATTTTGGCCTTCACAGGATACTGAAAAGCTGCAAATAATATCCCCCTGATACTAGATTCCTTTATATGTTAAGTGTCTGCTAATGAATTATTTAGAATTGAAGGAAATGGAAAAAGTCATAATCCATTTCCTGCTATAGAGTATTTCACATATTGTTTTCAGGCACTTTCACTTGGAAAGGTCCTGAAGAAAGACCACTTATGTACAACTTAATTTCTAGTTTTCAGCTGTCTATATTCTTTGAAGAGAATGACCACAGCACTAATAAAGAAATCTTGCTATACTTAGTAGAAACTGCACAGGAACTGGAAAACAAGGTGAGACCGGTAACTGCTTTGAGCGAAGGACCACTTGTGCAGTGACCTCCCTTCACAGAATGTTTCACTGTGATTCGATATGGGGCTGCCTGCTGTCAGAATGCTGCTAGGCCTAGGGTGGGCGTAAGGGCAGACCTGAAGCAGACTCTCCTCCTTGAGGTGAAGCGAGGGCTGGCACAGAGCCATGTCTTTTGGGTCTCATCCTTTCTGTCACTCAAGTCAGGAGTGGCCATCCTGATCTGTTCTGTTAACCTATCAGGTTAGGTTAGGCAAGGTACAGGGCAATAGCACAAATCTTTCACAGCTGCTATACTGCTATTTGTACCAGTCACCAAAAGAATGAACCTTACAGAATCCACATCTTCTTTCTTTGCCTTGTGCTCACAGACCATGAGGAGATATAGTTCTCAATAAGTTGCCTGCACCTTTCACTGGAGCAAAGAACCACAAGAGTACCTGTGCAAGACTCCTCGTGTTGCAGGACTTTCAAGGTCTTCTCCATGTACCCTGAGTGGCCTTTTTTTTTTTTTTTTTAAAAAAATCACCAGTGAACAAGAAATGTGGAGTTCAAAAATCACTGTTCAAACGGAATCTGCTCTGAAAGTTTAAAGACACGAGAAGTCACCAAATGTCTGCACAGAAACCAAGCCTGTCTGCTAGCGACACTGATCCTGCACAGAAACCATGTCTCTCTGCTAGCCACAATTATCCTGATAGCACAGTGGAGATGGAAAAACTATCCCTGGGAGAGCACGATGTGTGCACATATATTTGTTTATGAAGAAAACCTTGTATACCAAACTCAAGGAGACACTGTATCTCTACTGTAAGCAAACCTTTGTACTGTTCTGCAGTTCTGCTACTGCTGTATTGCCCTTACCCACTTTTCATTACAGTGAATTAAAAATTGCATGTACTAAAATTTTGAAGATGCAAGCACAGTTTATGTTCCCTCCTTGTGGTAATAAACAGACTTTTAGCCAGACAGTAAGGTTAGAAAAGTATTTCATTTTCTTACAGAAATGCAGGCTTTTCTTGCCACAACAACTATAACTAGTGGTGGGAATCAAAATCTAGCTAAAATAAGTAATTAAAGAAATTCATTTCACTCTGTGATTAACAGTTTTTTGCTATTGGCATCACCTTACCCTTTCTTTCAGCAGTATTGAAATACCAGCAAGTCAATGTAGTAATAAAAGGACACCATGAAAACTCACGCTTGGATCAAAAGACTGCCAGTGTTTCTCTCTTCAGGGACACTGGAAGAAAACTCACTCACCTTCAAAATTCTGCTAACATAGTGTAATAATATTGCAGTAACTGTAATAGTGTGACAAAAATTAAAACAAAGCTGGCAGCTGTTACAGAATTCATTTCATCAAGTTATTTCCTGTATCTTCTTCACTGAGCTGAGTCTACTTCTTACTTTACTTTTCCCAGCAAACAAAACAGAAACTTACAAAAAAAAAATAAACCAGGCAGTTTGATATACCCTGGTGACTAACAGCACAGTGTGTTTACAGGAGCTCATGGCATCCTAAAAACTCAGTTCCAGACTTTTTTTCCCTAGCAATCTGTTTCAAAGGGAATAACTGCTGTTCCCTATAATGGCAGCTGTGGTTACCTTGAGATTCTGGGAGCATGGTGAATACAAGCCAATTATTTTGGTTCTTATTTAACAAAATATAACTATCCACATTTACACACAAATAGGTAAGTGTGGAGAACATTAATTTAAATACAGAGATACTTCATATGTGAAATCAGACACTTAAGTGCTGAATACATGCAGAGTTTGTCTCTCTAAAGTTTTTAAGTGCTATGGTCCTAGTTACACATAGTTATCACCTGATTATGAATCATATGCCATAAACCAGACAGAGACGCCACAAAATTCCAAATATTTTGAGATCTACATAATAAATGCTGCAGTACACATTCCCATCAGGAGAAATATGAGGACTATGGCAAGTCAGTTCTAGCCCTCCTCCCATTCTCATTCGCTGTTTCTGCCTGTTGCCTCACACCTAAGACACATGCCCCTGCTAAGAATGAGAGAGCATGGATTCACAAAATTTACTTAGGTAACCCAAAAGCACTAATTATAATGGCAGCCTAAGCAAATCCTTTCCATCTAGACCCATACCTCTTTCCTATGTAGAGCCTTGTACTGATTTAAAATCATATAGAAGCAAAGATACCTTTGAATAACTCATTGATTTTGCTAGTTAATTGACACTTTTTTTTTCACAAGGCTGCTTGCCTCTTTATAGGACACTGATCGGGCATTAGAAGGTGTTTCAAAAAAATTGCATCATCCTCAAACTTGAGCGGACAATTCATGCAACTTATCCCATGAAAATATCTGCCTCTCAGCAGTACTGTCTGCTGGATGACAACATTTTATCATGTATAATGCAATCACTTTTGCAGACAATACACCTGTGAAAGAGGAACATGCAGGCCCTGACCTCAAATACTTATGATCTAAAACCCACTCACAAAAAAATCAGAAAGAAGATACATCACAGAAATTGAATTGTATGATGGAATTGACTGTTATGACTTGCTAGTTTTATGAACAGTAGGGAGAGCTAGTAGAGTTTTTAAAACTTAGATTATCTATTATTTTCCATTTTCAAATATCCTTGCACATTTTTCTGAGAAGCTGCTTGGCTTCCTGAGCCATGAAATGAGTTCCCACATGTTTCCACTCTTCTGTGTGGGAATGAGAACTTACCTGTACAAAAGAAACACGGCTCATCTATGAACTATGTCACAGTTGCCTGCTGGTTCTCTGCATACACTCTAAATGAAGACATCATGTAAATGCTGCCTGTTCTTTCTGTCCCTTCACTCCTCTTCACACATATATACACACTAATACTTTTTACAACTCTTTTTTTTTTTACCTTGAAAGAGACATGTTCTTAAAACCCAAACCTAGCCAGCTGATTATTTCCTTTCCAGCTCACAGGTTATGATGCAGACTCACAAGTGCTAGGAAATGTAAAGCTGTGGGAGAAGACTAACTATATTCAGAAAAAATTGCTAATTCTGACATTCTAGATGATGAATGATCTCAGATTTCACATCTGGGTTTTCTTCCTGTCTCTGTCAATGCTTTTCTGCCTGAGCTTGGCAAGAGCTATTATCTCTGGATTTCCACCCTTCATCTGTAGCACATAAAAACTCTGCTTTCATCCCAAATGTTTCTTGTTTAAAACTGCAGACTGCTGGGGCAGAGTCTATTTTTTAACCAAGCATGAAATTCATCGTTTAGCACAGTTAGGTTCCAATTCTATCACCCTTGGAGCCTACCAGGTGACAATACTGTCAAAATAACTGACATTTTACTACCACAATTATTCAGATTGTGTATCAAAATCTTTTTATTACATTTTTTTCTCCCACAAAATTGCAATTGTTAATAAAACTATTAATATCCAAGTACTGGTGGCAGAATAAAGACAAATATGATTGAGTCTCTAAAAACAGTGATCAGAGTATTTTTAGACTGAGAAGAAGGACCATTGCCAGGAATAAATCTACTCTCCACCCATAAATCAAGTTTAGTATAACCCACAAATACAGGAAGCAGTTTATATGGGGCTTGTTCCTGCAGGGTGCTTACTCATTTAGATACCTCTATTCAGATGGTACTCCTTTACCAGAAAAAGCATTCGGTTTATAGAAAAAAAATCTTAAGTAAAAAACTGAATAGTACTGTACTGCAGAAAACAACCTGGGTAAAGAGCATTCAGGCTCAACTAGCAATCAAATATTATCAACAGCCATGATGAAAGCACAAAGACTTGCAAACCATTTCAAATACAAAAAAAGGATGAAATACCCAAATAAGACTTCCATATATAGTACATGTATAATATTAATACTAAATTCACTTGTAAAAATTGCAATTACATTGTTGAATTATTTCATATAACTGAGTCACTTTCAATGTTATTTTCAGTGGCAAGATTCCTGTTTGCTTGGATTTTTCTAACCATTAGACAGTCAAGGAGAGGGAAACAGTCTGCAGTAAACAGTATTTTTTTTTGAAAAGCTGTATGTCTTTATGGTTTTTAGAGAACCACAAGGTTTGGCATCTCTCCTTATTTTAAACCAGCTGTGCCTCTTGTCCCACTATGTTTCAATCGATAATACTTCTGCAGAGCATTTATCTTTTCTTACTTGGCTCCTTTTATAGTGGGTTGTTTCCTGCAACTCTTCACCGTGTTTCAGATTCTTCTTAAAAATGTTTAGTGCCTTGTGCTTTTTATTCGTGCTCCTCCTGAGTGTTAGGATGGGAGATCTCTCCCACTCTCCAGAAGACTACTCTCAAGAGTAGTCTTTGCCTCACTGCAGACAATTCTTTAAAGTTTAGCATTTTCTATGTATGCTATAGTTGCACTACCTACAATCTCATTCATAATACCTATCATGTCTGCTCACAGGAGTATCATTTTTTTTTTGCCAGAAGAATTGAGGTTATCACGTAATTCCACACACACACAAAGGAAAAAGAAAAAAAAAGAGAGAGAGATTGACACTATTACTGCATGATTTAATTCTCCCTTTTCCCCTCTTTTTTTCTCCAAAAGAAAAAAAGGAGAGGAAAAGTACAGATGCTTCTCACATACCTGTCAATGAATTGGTCAATCATGACAAGATCTCCAGGTTGTATTTCTTCTCGTAATGAGCCACAGGCAGTAGTTACTAAAACATGGGAACAATTCTCTTGTTTAAGTGCCCAGATATTGGCACGGTAATTCACATTTGATGGCATAACTGTATGATGCCTTCCATGTCTGCAAAGATAAAGGTGAAAAGAGTGCAAAATAAACCAGAATTCCAGGAAATGTAATTGCCCTAACAACACTGCAAAAGGAACTTAAGCAACTTACAATCAGCCTGTTTTCCTGGATTTATTATGAGTCTCTCAATACTCAGTTTGTAAAGGACTGGCAAGAACTTCCGTAATTTTCATTTTGAAGGCAAAATTAAATGATTCAAAAGTTGAAATTCAAAATAGATCTTGAAAATGTAACACAAATACACCTTGGCAGATTAAGAGCATAAAATACATTTTTCAAAAAATTTTTGAGACAGTTTCATAAATTCTGAAAAACTAGACTTGATGATATTAACTCTTCTACATATTACAGCAGATTTATAATCAGTTCTCTAGGTTTGCTGTTCAAAAGTGCTGTTTCCATCCTTCTACCCAGGAAAGACTGATACAACGTAAGAAGTAAAAAACAGGAAAAGTCCACTGTTTTAATCTATGCCCCTTCCAAAGAAAACAGTGCGATTGCAAATTTTTTATTTGCTCTTAATATGATCTAACAAGATTTTTCTAAATAAGAATGACAGTAGATCATGGTAGTAGTCTTGTATTTTTTTTAAATAGCACAGAAAATATTCAATCATATAAGCACATTTCAATTTATCTCTGGTATCACGTTGTATCAGATGATGAACTGAAACTCAAGCAGTATTTTTTCAATTTTTTCCATCTCTAGCACTATAAAGATGAAGCAAGGAGTCCCTAGATTTCTAAAAGAAAATAGGAATCAGCAGTATTCTGTGAAATGCCTTGCTAAAAGTCAGTCTCTCCACTGCCTACAGCACTGCTAGTAGACAAGTATTAAAACTTCTCTTGACCTTGTTATCTTCCTCTGTCCAGAAATGCTGGAACACTCTTCAGACTCCCTTCTATTCTCCCAGATCAAGAGAGAAAACGTTTTGCTCCCTCTGCTGGAAATTATTAGTATATAGTCTTTGACAGTATCAAAGTACATTGGATCAGAGGATACAGAACAGCACTACTCAGATTAGCTATAGCAATGGAAGAATATAAGAGAGTTAAGATTTTGTATCTGCTGTCAAACACACTTACCTACAGAAAAACCTTAGTGGTATTCCTGACTGCAACCTAAGTCTAGGTAATCACTATTCACACCCCTAGGCAATTTGTTCTGTACTGACAAAGATATAGAAGGAAGCATGAAGAGACACACCCAAGTTTCATTCTTATGGGCCCTATGCAAAAACTTCTGCATGAGATGCCAAAGTTGAACACCATGTCTCTTCCCTCCCAGAGAAGAAAATTCTTAGAGGAACTTTCTCATTGGGAGCCTTGAAGAGAGAGAATGTAGAAGAGATGTCAGAGGTGATGTTTATGGAGGAAGATAGTTACATAGGTGCCAGGTAAGTTTAAGTTTTCCCAGACTACCATGACAAATGATTTGAAAGCATTGCCGTGTCTCTTTTTGTCACATAAAAAGAAAGGTAAATCCTCTTAACACAGCTCCACAACAGCAATCTTCCCCACCATCCTAAATGAACAAACAGCTGTAGTAAATTTATGGCACAACATCACCCACTACAAAAAGCCTGGAAAAACAAAGCAGGAGAGGTAGGAAGTTGTGAGGACTCTCCCTATGACTCAATAGCAGTGATATATCTGCACTTGAGGTCTACCCTCTTCGCACAGAGTTAGCAGTGGAAGGAATACAGGAAGGTATTCCTCATCAGGAAGAAAGGAAATGCATGGACAAGGAACATACAAGATAAGAAAAGTAAAACACAGAGTAGTTGCTGAGGTGGTAGCAGTCAGCAGTTTAAGGGAAAAGTACTGGTATGAAAAGTAACAGAGTCCTCAGTGTACTAACAGCTTTTAATTGCCCTGACCAGCCTCACCTTGGGCCTACAGGCATGCGCCAAAGTGCTACTGAGTCCAGGAACAATGTTTAGTCTCATGACAGTGTCTTCAGTTCCTCGCCAGGCTCTGCTGCAGGTGTGCTTGTCTCCAGCCCTGTTCCTGGATGGCCTTCAGAATTATATCAGGGGCCTTGTCTCCAGGCCCATGCAGCCCTGTTTGCTGAAAGGACTGTGGACTCTCATTATGGCCTCTTGCCTGGCCCTGCGTCCTACCGTTCCTGCCTAGACTCCTTGGACGGATTTTGGACTGGTATGTCATCAGTTTGGCTTGTCTGCAACTGTCATTATTCCTCTTACCATCACCTATCTGGATAGCCTATAATATCCAGATGCTGTGAGCTGTGCCCTGGCTTGTGAAAGCACTGCCTGAGCTACAGTCACCTTCAGCTCCTAGCTCATCCCCACTACTCAAGCGGCCTGGCCCTTGCTGCCCCACATAAAATGTTATAAAAACCTATAAAAAAGATAAAACACACAATCATCGTAAGATGGCAACTATAAAATATCAATAATCAACCTGTCTAAGGCCACTGCAGAGGCTGGTCCTTTCCCATCTAGCTGCTGACTGCATGACCTAATGATTGCCTAACCACTCATAAAATGACTTTTCACATGTGGTGAGCATTCTCATGTTTGGTCTAGAAGAACACTAGTCCTAGATACCTACTGTTATATTAGCCAATATGATTTTTTTAAGCACTCTCTTGCAGATCCTGATCGCAGAGTCTTTTTTGCACACAGTTAGAGATACCTAACACAGATGACCCAGTGAGGGAGAATTAAAGAAATTATACAGTTACATTTTAAGACATACAGACTTCTAAGTGATAAGAGTAGCAGCCACAGGTTTAACTAATCAAGCAGAACTGGAAGTGGCTACACTGTTGCTGTATGTAAAGTTAATCTAAAAATTGACAATTTTCTAGTTTCACAAAGGAAATTCGCCAGCAAAGTGTGCAGCCAGATTACTGAGATTATCAGGTGTCACCTACCTGCGACTGGAACAGGCAATCTTGTGGGTTGCCACTTCTATCACAGCACCATCCTCCACTGTATTTTTCCTTCCCAAATCTAGATGGTATTGTTAATACTTTCAGCCCCTGGAGTACTAAATTTGTTCAGGCAATAGGCAAAAATATTCCATTGGTCTTTGCCATCAGTCACACAGAGCAAGATGTGAGAGTGAAAAATTTAATCATTTAGTGTAAAAAGAAAAAGCTTCTGCGAAAAAAAAATCCTATGATATAAATTATCTATGTATCTATTTATCTATGTATCTATCTATCTGTAAAAACCCTGAAATATATATTTACCTTGCCAACAGCACACAGTCCACATTTTTTATCTTTCCCAATATCAAAGCATCTGATGGCTGCAAAACAAACAAACAATAATGAGTTATAAGCTTGCCAGTCACACTGGAAACCTTAACAGCTACTTATAAATACATATTATATTAAGAAAGAAAATACTCGTTACCACTATAGTCTCAACATTTATTCAACTCAGAAGAAACCTGTGATGCAGTGTGGCAGATTAATGAGAGAGTCTGAAACTGGAAGATCATTTACTTGACACAAGAGTGATGATCACAATTTAGCCACGTTCATTAGCTCTAAAACTGCAAACCTCAACTAAAAATAGTATTTCCAACAATGCAACATGAACATGAAAACAAAATCATGCACACATTATCTTTAAATAATTCAGCATGCCTCATTCTCTGCAGTTAATTTTAGCTGTTTCTTGCAAAATAGGTGTCATTCCTTACTAAAAAGGCCCACCACCAATAAATAATCTGTCTATTCCTTTAGTACTTCCCATCAACTTTCACATCTCCTTTATATCACAACTCTTAGCTTGTACGCATGTTCCAGACTCCTTCTAAGCCACCCTTTTGCTTGCCCACCCTCCTACACTTCCTGATAAATTCCATCTTTGCTGCAGTTGGAAACCTCACTTTTTTTTTTTTTTTTTTGGCAGGAGGGGCCCTCTGACATGATAGGGAGCTCCTCGTGCACTAACTGCAGAAGCAGAGTTATGTTTGGCCTGCCCAAGGATAGGAAGACAGCGTGCACACGCCTCTCATTGGTGTACAATGAGCACATGCATTGCTTCTGCAAACCTCCTACATAATTAATCAGCCTGGAGTAAGGGCATCAAGCCTTCAGGAGCTGTGCTGGGAGATATGCCCTGCCTTGGAGGATGGATACACAAAGGCCTGTGTACGGCAATTACGAAGTCATCAAACGCCATGAGAACATATATTCTGTTTTGTAGGCTATATTCTGCTCCAGAGGTAAACATGTAAGGGACAGGAAATATACAGTGCCTCTAGGTTTTCTTCTTCAAAGCTATTGTTAAAAAATACAGGTCCTCTTTACGAGATGCTGAGTTGTACTGGTGCTGAACACCGGTGCAGCTTTTGTAATGCTGCCTTGTGTCCCATGCACCTCTCGGAGGGATTTTATTCAAAAATATTCATGTGCTGGTTGGAGGAAGAACTTAGGATGACTACATCCTACTATAGGACGACAGGGCCCTGGAACAGGTTGCCCAGGGACATGGTGGAGTCTCTTTCCTTGGAGATCTTCAGAACCTGCCTGGATGAGAGCATGAGCCTTGTGCTCTAGGGGTCCCTGCTAGACCAGGGGGTTGGACTAGAAGATATCTAGAGGTCCCTTCCAACCTTAACCATTTTGAGATTCTGTGAGTCTGTGAGCTAGATATATTGCTTCTCCTGCCCAAATAAGAAGCCAAGCTTTCCACTGCTTATTTCAGTGTTGAAGAAACTTCACACCAAGTAAATTTGCAAGTGTTTGGAAAGACTCACACATTCACATTTAGAAAGGTCCCGTTCTGCTTGATATAATTTTATCTGTATTTTACTGCTAATTACAGGCTCTCAGTTATTATTTAATTTTGCAACTGTAACTTTAGTTAGGCATATAAAAATTTGCAGAGATTTGTAATACTTAAAGTAAGACTTGAGTCCAGCATACCTGCATTTTAGCACTTCTAACTATCCAATGCACAAGTTGGTTTTGGTAGTTTTTAATGTGCTGTGTCTTTCAAGCATCATAATTACTCCACCATGTAGGTTTAAATACTGCTAGACAGATTTTACATATACTTTCCAGGGAATTTACTTTCAGAACTACATATTCTGATCTTTTTTCATAAAGTCCTCATTTAAGTTTAATCTGTTGACATTTAAATGTTTAAACTATTTGCCTTATTTTATGTATACAACTGTGAATCAGGTGTTCTTTGTGCCAAGACGGATCATATTACTTTTTGTTGCAAAATAGAAAAGGAAACAAGCAATCCTGCACAGTTAATCCTCAAGCATGATAACAACAAACAATATATCCTATTTGATTGCAACAAAAATTAAACATTGTTTATGCAGAGGGTTAAAAAGAAGCTTTGTTTGTTACCTATACCTATGACTAAAACAGGCATTAAATAGGTCTTACTACAATTTTCTAGAATATGAAGATTTTACTGATTTGGGGAAAGGAATTTGAGAACCTAGTTCTGCTTGCCAGAAAGTAAAAAATTTAATCATTTTAAATTTAATCATTTTAAAAATTTAATCAATTTAAATGTTTGTTTTCCACAGCATACTGACTCTTCATCCAAATGTTTGGTAGAATGGAAATGGTGAAAGGAGGAGAGAGAAAAGAACATATTTAAAAAAAAAAATAAAGGTAATTTACTACACTTCTACTAAAACTACCAATGTAATCTGAAAGATCACGGGAGTACCCTACTGATAGAAAGAACTGCATAAATTCTTGTATTAATTTTTTCTTAAAATTTTCCAGATTTCCATTATTCAGATGGTAATTCTAAATGACTCAGCCTCTTCTGGTTTTAAGATACTACAGAATGTCTGAGATCCAAGTTCTGCTATAAATACCCTGTGTGAAATACAACCTCCCTCTGCTTTGATTTCCCAGCTATAGAACTGCTTTTGTCTTGTTCATGTTCCCACTGCAAGCTTTCTGGAGAATTTCTTTTTCATTACACACTAGACACAGCATAGAGCACATATCCATTCTCTTTCGCTGAGGAAAAAGGCTGAAATAATGTGAAGAAGAGCTGATTGAGAATACTTGTGCCATGTAAACAGCCACAAGGATTCATTTTCAAATCACTTTCCAAGTCATCCTCAAATCATTTTCAAATGATGCATTTACAGGCATGAATTTACATAAATTGATATATGAAGAGATAATGCAGAGTCTGCAAGGAAAACTGGGCCCGTATATGTAAAAGAAAAGTTTTTTGTCATTTAGAAAATCTCCTAGAACTGTTTGACATATATTGCAGGCCACTGAATAGCATCAATTTGAAAGAGCAACTTATCCCATCTTAAACTGTAAATTTAGTATTGAGTTTGCAAATCCATTCAATGTGCAAAGGCAGAGAGCTATAATCTCTTCAGCACGTCATCACTCATAAGACCTTGTTTTCACAGATTTCCAAGCAGAAAATGAGCATCAATGAAAGAGAATTAGTCTTGACTGTACTTCCTTTACATGTCTATTTAACACAATAGACTTGCCCGCAAATTCTTGAAGGACAAAAATGTCTTTAAAAACACAGAAAGTTTTAATAATAAAAAACAGATTATACAGACCTTGCCATACGGAGTATCAACATATTTTTCTATCCTTCCTTCTAAAATATCTGGATCATCCAGGCCAGTTCCACCAATAATTCCAATCTTTAACAAACAAAAGCATATTAGATTTCTTGAGATTAAAATCCACTTAACAATATAACTGAAAAACTGGGCAGTAACAACATATGATTTCTGCTTGATATGCATTTAGACTACAGATCAACCTGAGAAAGGAAAGCTACATGTGATTTTAAATAGTCATATTTAATGCTTTACTTCTACACTATCGTTACAATTTTCCTCTTTAAACATACCTAATTTTAAAACACATGGAAAAGCTACCGCTATATGCCAATTCATCACTTATCCCAGTAGAAAAATAACGAGCACTGCTTGGGAATGCCTCTCTAACCATCGAGAAACAGGGACAGTTTCTGAAACAGGGACAGTTCAGTGGTATCTCTGCTTGCACAAATCAAAGGAATGTGCTGAGAACTAAAAGTGCTGTATGGCTTTCTTGGCAGTTTTGCAGCAGGATCCGCCTGCTGTAGGATCACTAATTTTCACCTGCATTAGATATAATGCCAGATTTTGTTCAGACACCAGCTAAGTGGGAATATGAATGGATTCTTGCTTCTGCTACTTTTTAGGAAGTCTTTCATGATAACTACTTCTCTTTCAAATTTTTATGAAACTGACCAACTGTTTCAAAGCAGAAAATAAAAGAAAAAGCAGAGGGCCAAGCAAGAACCAGTTTAATTGCATGTATCTTATTTCCTTAGAAAATCAGGCTAGACAACCTACGGTGTGCTCTGATATAATTTGCAATGTCTAAACATCAAGTGAACCACAAATACCACGTATTTGTCATGCTTTAGTAATTACTGATTTCTTGTTCTTGCTCATAGCTGACCTGTTTTAGTTCTTCAGAAAAAAAAATCAATCGTATTATCATTGGATCTAAGCTTACTTATGACTTCATATTCCAATAAAATAAAAACACATCAGAATTTTCTTGTTTCTAGTGGTCCACTGGAAAGCAAGTTCCTTTGCCTTTCTAGGAAATGTCTTTTCCATTTTCAGTGAGTCAATACAAAACTTTCTATCGACTTCAGTATACTTCTGGCTCTTTCACCTTTCACAACCCCAAGCCTCATAATGGCATAAAAAACAATATCATCATTCATCGTACACAAGGAAAATCCTACTGGCTTGTTTTCAGTGCAACTAGCTGTTGAAAAAATGTCTCAGCAGTATTAAACAAAATAATTTATGGTTTGGTTGCACTTCTGAAGCCATTTTGGCATAAGGTGCTATCGCATGGTTAAAGATTTTTTTTCCTTATAAAAGTACAAAAGTACTGCAAGAAAAAAAAAGTCTTAAATGTAACCCACCCCACACATGTTTCTTAGGTTTCACTTTCATAAAGACGTCATTGATTCCATCGATATATTTCAGTCAGCTCACTGAGCATTTAGTCTCGTGTAGAAATGTGTAGAAACTCCGTGGCCTTTTCCTCAAGCCAAACAGTTCCCTATGAGAAAGCTTTCCACAGCAGATGGTTACCGAAGTACCATACACTGAAGCAGTTGTTCTAACATCCTGTTTCCTTTTGCTACCCCCCTGTGGTGCATGAGGAGCACTGCAAAGGAAAGCACCAGTTTCATACACCAAATCCCGAATGTATTCAAGCATTACAGAATAACTAGTGTTTTTCTTCAGTAGTACTGATGGATCTGCCTGGTCTTCCTCGTGTTGCTTATTTATCACAAGTATTCACAGACTGCCCGTGGAAAAAAAGTGAAGACTATGTAAATTTTAGGATAAACAATGTTTTGTCCTGAAAATTCTACCAGAAGTGTGCAATGGGTATGTCGCTCTTTTTTCCTCTTGTTTCAAAGTTATGCTAAAAACCTTGCTGTCTGAAATACCAGCAACAGGCTTGCAGAGTATTCATGACTTCCAGGGACAGAACCCACAACATCACAATAAATGCTAGAATCCAGCTACTAGAATAGCACCTGAATTTTCTTTTTCTTTCTCTTACCTGCAAAATAACTCACTTGCAGCCTGGTCGGCCCTCAGGCCACTTTAGGCAACACTGGCAATGCAGAGGGAATGTTGTCGATGGCTACAGAAATGACAGCTTTTGCTGTAATTAACAAGGGAAGAACTCCACTGGAAGGAAAGACTGGCAAGCGCTGATTCACCCATTAAAGCAACTGCTCCTCCAGACCTGGAAACCAGCCTAGAGGTGGCAGCAATAGTCACAACACTTATTAACCTTTTTTCTCTACAAGAGGCTGATGGTTTTTCCTCCTGCTTACTTGATCCTCAGGAATATCAGCTGAACCTGGAGGCAGCAGCCCTAAAGATTCAGTTCTATAGTAAACTCTGCTTTATAGACCTTGTAGTGAACTATCAAAAGGAAAAGGAAAAGTCAGTGTGGAGAAATCCTGCCAAGAGGGCTGAGGCCTGACTCCACAGAGTAGTACAGGCTTTAAAGGCAAGGAATAGCAAAGAGAAGCTGACCTGTGGAAAAAAGTCTCATCCTCAACAAGCAAGGAAAAATTATCTCTAGGAGTGACCTCAAGCGATCAAGATGCAGGACTTTGTGTTCCATTCCCAAGCACCCTACAAAGGGGCAAAGGAGGTAGCACCTGAGATACAACCTCCACTGATTCCTACAGGTAATCAGGAATCAGCTTAAGTGAAGACAGGAGGCTGTGGAACTAAAGATGTAGCCATCTTAAAATGCTGGCATGAAGAACGAACCTAAACCAGATTATTATCACACCAGTGATAAAGAGAAAATATAGAACTTCTTTTTTCCTTTCTTCCTGGGGGAGTCTAAACACCAGTCATATTTATGTCTTTCTTCACCTATTGTTTGTTCAAGTATAGGACATGATTCTGAACTCACACTTGTGCTGGATCTCTAAACATTTACAAGAACATTGTCATATTTAGCTCAAGTCTTTGTGCTACATTCTTCCCTTCTATTTGTGAATAACAGAAAGAGGGAGACCATGTCATTAAAAAGCGTTTTACTTAGAAGGGCACAAAGAGCAAACTGTAATCAACTTTCAACTAAAAGTTTACAAAATCAGAGTTTAAGCATATCTGGCCTGCTCAGCCATGACACAGGGCGTGGTTTTTT